GAAGTGAAGGGAAATCTCAACAATGGGACACAGATGGCGATGGCGAAAAAAAAGTCTGACACAGGTTATTTATTTTATTTATTACAGGTACTTATATAGCAAGATCAATTTATGCTGCACTTTACATACATATTGTACGTTCACATGATCCCTAACCCTCAAGGAGTGTATAATCTATGGACCTTAACTCGCATTCATACATACACATACTAGGACCAATTTAGACAGGAGCCAATTAACCTATCAGCATGTCTTTGGAATGTGGGAGGAAACAGGAGTACCCAGAGGAAACCCATTCAGGCACAGGGAGAACATGCAGACTGCAGGTAGGCTCTAACACTCAGAACTGAGCAATCACATGACCACTCATTGCTCAGTTCTCAGTGTTCGATCCAGCGGGGGACTGCTGCAGCATCACAACAATGCTGCAGCCGTATAAGTTGTGTTTTTTTGTTTTTTTTTTAAATTTAATATATAAAGCAAGAGCGGTAACTGACAGCGCTTACTGGAGCTGAGCCAACTTCTGATCAGGCTTCTGGGTGGATGCCAGCATTATTATCAGGATCCTTCCCAGAGCACTCTGAAGTCAGCTAAAGCACACTATCGGCTGACGGGTTCCAAACCTTCTCTACTTCATCCAATTCTGGAAAAAATTTTTTGGAATGTGGGAGGAAACCAGAGTACCTGAGGAAAACCCATGCAGGGACAGCATGCAGGCTGGAATTCAAAGCAACGACCCTAGTGCTGCTAGGTGGAGGATTAACCACTTTGCCACTGTGCTAACCCTCCCTTACTCTATTGAAAATTTTAAAAAAAGTTTTGCCTGTAGGTCTACTTTAGGAGGCTGATGGCAGCACTTACTTGCTTGCGTCCCCCTATTTCCGGGCTTTATTATCGTTGTATAGTGAGACCTTTTAGCTTCCAGTGTCCTATGGAGCCCCACCATAGCCACCCTTACATTCTACCTCATAGTATACCTGCTGCCACTGCCTGCACTAAACACGTACAGCTAGGCCAGGCACTAGGAATGATGGGGCATGTTGTTGAGAAGCTCCCTCACATGAACTACCGGGAAACTGCTGGGAGGAAACTGGAGGCTGCATGTTTGTGTGAGTGTTTAGTGACAGTGGCAAATAATGATTAACTGGCAAATGCCTATTTGGGTAAGAGGAATGTATCTGTAAAAAAAAAAAAATAAAAGTGAGGCTTTAGGGCTCCTTAAAAGATAAGTTAACCTTTTTTTGAAAACTAATAAATGCATATTTTTTGCAGGTAAACAAAATGTGCATTTATAATTTTTTTTCTGGAGTCTCTAAAGCAGGGGTACTGAATTAAAATTAATGGAGATCCAATCAATTAAAGTTTCTTCCAACAGAGGTCCGGATCGCATGTTTGTGCCATGATTCAGATCCTTCACATCACAATCTCCATCTCCTCTTAGGTTCATATTTCTATGGCTGGAGAACGGTCATGAAACTGAACATGTTCCCAACCTGCAGAAAAATGTGCTGTACTTCATCAGATGTACGGGGGTGCCATTCATTTTTAAATGCACCCCCACACATTGCCACCTATGGCACATTTTGACACACACCAAGCAGCTTGGTGCAGCGCAATTTGAAAAGAAGGGTCATGAACGTCTTCCCTGTCTTTCTTTAGGGTAGGGAAGCACTTCAAAATGAATGGGCTGCCCAACCCGTGACACGTGCATGCAAAGTTTTCTCCTTACATCACAGTTCTCTCCCCTTTCACATCAAAATCCCTCTTCACATTACTGTCCTCAGCCCCCCCCCCATAATTGTTCTCCCCCCCCAATAATTGTCATCTGCCTCCCTTTACTGTCCTTGGCTTCCCCCATTACTGTCCTCAGCCCCTCTATAATTGTCTTCAGCCCATTACTGTCCTATGTCCACCCAGAATTGTCCTCAGCTCCCCCATAAATGTCCTCTGCTTACAACATAATTGTTCTCTGCTCCCCCATTACTGTCTTCAGCAGCCCATTACTGTCCTCGGCTCCCCCTCACATTACTGTCCTCAGCCCCCCCCAACATTACTGTCCTCAGCCCCCCCCCCCCCAACATTACTGTCCTCAGCCCATCCTTACATTACAGTTCTCGGCCACCCTATAATTGTCCTTAGCCCCCTTTACTGTGCTCAGCCCCCCTTATAATTGTCCTTCGCTCTCTCATAATTGTCCTCAGCCCCCACATTACTGTTCTATCCCCCCATTATTGTCCTAAGCAGCCTTCATTCACATTCTCCCCTTCCGACTCCCCCCTGTCCTTCCTTACACATTAGAGCGGAAGGCACGGGAAGTCTGGACAGAGGCCAGGAGCTGCAAGCTGTTGATTGGTTTCTAGGACTGACCTAGCAACCAATCGGCCTCCCACTTGTTAAGGGACCAAAAGTAATGGGACAGAATAATAATCATAAATCAAACTTTCACTTTTTAATACTTGGTTGCAAATCCTTTGCAGTCAATTACAGCCTGAAGTCTGGAACGCATAGACATCACCAGACGCTGGGTTTCATCCCTGGTGATGCTCTGCCAGGCCTCTACTGCAACTGTCTTCAGTTTCTGCTTGTTCTTGGGGCATTTTCCCTTCAGTTTTGTCTTCAGCAAGTGAAATGCATGCTCAATCGGATTCAGGTCAGGTGATTGACTTGGCCATTGCATAACATTCCACTTCTTTCCCTTAAAAAACTCTTTGGTTGCTTTTGCAGTATGCTTTGGATCATTGTCCATCTGCACTGTGAAGCGGCGTCCAATGAGTTCTGAAGCATTTGGCTGAATATGAGCAGATAATATTGCCCGAAACACTTCAGAATTCATCCTGCTGCTTTTGTCAGCAGTCACATCATCAATAAATACAAGAGAACCAGTTCCATTGGCAGCCATACATGCCCACGCCATGACACTACCAGCACCATGCTTCACTGATGAGTTGGTATGCTTAGGATCATGAGCAGTTCCTTTCCTTCTCCATACTCTTCTCTTCCCATCACTCTGGTACAAGTTGATCTTGGTCTCATCTGTCCATAGGATGTTGTTCCAGAACTGTGAAGGCTTTCTTAGATGTCGTTTGGCAAACTCTAATCTAGCCTTCCTGTTTTTGAGGCTCACCAGTGGTTTACATCTTGTTGTGAACCCTCTGTATTCACTCTGGTGAAGTCTTCTCTTGATTGTTGACTTTGACACACATACACCTACCTCCTGGAGAGTGTTCTTGATCTGGCCAACTGTTGTGAAGGGTGTTTTCTTCACCAGGGAAAGAATTCTTCGGTCATCCACCACAGTTGTTTTCCGTGGTCTTCCGGGTCTTTTGGTGTTGCTGAGCTCACCGGTGCGTTCCTTCTTTTTAGGAATGTTCCAAACAGTTGTTTTGGCCACGCCTAATGTTTTTGCTGTCTCTCTGATGGGTTTGTTTTGTTTTTTCAGCCTAATGATGGCTTGCTTCACTGATAGTGACAGCTCTTTGGATCTCATCTTGAGATTTGACAGCAACAGATTCCAAATGCAAATAGCACACTTGAAATGAACTCTGGACCTTTTATCTGCTCATTGTAATTGGGATAATGATGGAATAACACACACCTGGCCATGGAACAGTTGAGAAGCCAATTGTCCCATTACTTTTGGTCCCTTAACAAGTGGGAGGCACATATGCAAACTGTTATAATTCTTACACCGTTTACCTGATTTGGATGTAAATACCCTCAAATTAAAGCTGACAGTCTGCAGTTAAAGCACATCTTGTTCATTTCATTTCAAATCCATTGTGGTGGTGTATAGAGCCAAAAATGTTAGAATTGTGTCGATGTCCCAATATTTATGGACCTGAGTGTATGTGTGTGTGTGTGTGTGTGTGTGTGTGTGTGTGTATATATATATTATATATATTTTCATAAATAAAATGAAAATAAAGATTTCATAATTTTTCTGTATGTATTATGCCTTTAAAGTCCTACTTCGTCTAAGGGGTTTCTCCATATCTTCATCTAGTTGTGTAGGGTTGGTGGCAGTCTATCAGGAATTATTTCTTTTTTTTCCCTCACCTTCGTGAACACTGATCCCCTATTAACTATATACAGTAACTGTGTAAACTGGTCTGCTTGTGTCTTATTAAGTGTTCTTGCATAGCAGGAACACTTATTGTTATCTCACAAATATATTCTTATTCTTATTCCGTTTCTTATTATAGCCATATTTACCACCCTAACTCCTCCCACAGTTTTTACACTACAAAGACAAGTAATATATCAAAACGTGCGGATTGTTCCCGATTGGTGTGCTATTACTTTGTGGAACGTTTCGACGAATCGTTCACGAAATATCGCGGTTTTTGTGGTGAAATTTTCCCATAGGAATGAATGGTGCATCTAGAGTGAGAAGTGACAAAGCTAAAGTGTGGAAGGAAAAATCAGAACATGATTTGTAAACTGCCATCACTCTGTCATTTTCAAGCCCACCTACACATATCTTATATAAAAACGTTCAGCTAACCCTGCTGTCACTAAAAATGTTCACGGCTAGGACATACTCCTGATAGTTTTCACAATATGACCATTTGTTTGCAACTCACCCCTCCCATTGACTTTCATTGAAACTTCACTCACAGCCACCTGAAATGTGAAGGGATGTTTTTAAACTGCGACTGTGCCTTAATTTTTTATCTTTCAGAGACATACTATACATCAAAATTTAGCCCTGCTTCTTGTGATTGTCACAATATTCTCACATTCCTGACTGAGTGAGTTGCTATAGCAACCAAACATGACTCACACGCAGCTGAGTCATTGAGGCTAACTGTGAGCTTGCAAAATACAAGCTGAAATCCATTTCTCCCTCTGTCAGGCTTGCTATGTACACTGCTTACATTTCATCAATCAGTTGGTAAAGGTTGCTTGCAAGAACACTTTACACAATTTCCCCAGAAATTGTAGATTTTCTAGTTGGTATTGTTGTCTTCATGGTTCACAGTGAATTCTCATGTGTTTAGCTTTGCAGACTATGGCTGTATGTTGGAGATCTTGCACTTGGACTATTTGCCTGATGGCCGGTCACTGGTGGAGACAATTGGCAGGAGACGTTTCCGTGTGCTGCAGAGAGGCCAATTGGATGGTTACCACAAAGCGGAGATAGAGTACCTGTCCGATAAGAAGGTGGAGGGAGAAGAGCTGGAGGAGCTGCAGAGATTACATGACATGGTGTATCAACAGCTGGAGGAATGCTTCTCACAGCAGAGAGGGAGTCTGCCTAGACGTGTCTTCATGCATCACACCAGCCCACCTCCAAAGGAAGACAACATCCAGGTCAGTGTGCAGAACAAAATGACTGCAGATTTTAAAGGATGCCTCTACTACTGAAAATATAGAGGTTGTCATAACTGTCTGACTTAAAATTCTATTTCCTTGGTTGATATGCTAATCCTGTGACTTCAGAACTCTCTAGTTTACTCACATAAAACAAAAGTGAATGTTACAAAAGTTGAATTTGATCTGACTTTCCTTATCAGCAGTGTCTTAAAAGTAATGAACAACTAGCATTTTCAGATCGAGGTCAGCAACAGCTTTCTTTGTATTTCTCAGAGCAAGGAGTTGGGCTTTAAAGCAAAACCATTGCTAAAACAGTCCACATATCAGACGCAGCCCTATCTGCACAACAGTACAAAACCATCATTCATTGTCATCTGCAAAATGATGACCTTAGGCAGCTGTGATTCAGCAGCCATGCTTTTCCGGTGTTTCAATTGGTCTTATTCATTGCAATAGCAGTTCATGGGGTGGTAGGATAAGAAATAAAATACACCTGAAATATTATTAGGTGGAAGCATTTTTAGTACATGTAAGGATTCTCATTTTTGCCAGTAGTTTTTTTTTTTTTTTTATATTTTTATTGAATTTCAAATCAAAGTACAACCATTGATTGACATGACCATACTATTATAAATTACAATGTATTCTCAATCGACATTTACAGTGTTAGACAAATGCCAGATGTAGAGTTGTTAGACCAGTGAAAAGTACGTAGTAGTCAACAGAAAGTGAAAAAGGTCAAGTTCTGAGGTTACTTCTGACAATATCATATTTGGTAAGTATTCAGATTAGATAACCTATAGGGAAGACATATATCTGAGACAAGCATCCTGGTTACACAGGAATTCATGTCTAGGAGAACATGACCAACAAGTGAGGTTTAAGGGATGGTCATCGGGAAAAGGACAAAGAATGCTGTGGCTATATGGCATGAAAAAGAGAAAAGAAAGGGAGACAAGGAATAAAGGATAAATATTGGTTCTGCTTTGCACAATACTAATAAGTGGCTATGGGAGTAGTTCAGACATTAAGCCCACCTTCAGGCAGGTCACCCCACCCGTTCCAAGAAGTTCTACTTTTAAGTTTTACATGTTACAATATGACTGTACAATCTGCTATGTATTTAACTACAACTACTGTATGTAGTGCAAGGGTCTGCCTGATTAAAAACAGATTGACTGGATAGTTTAGGTAGGTCCTCACATTATATAGTTTTAGTAAATTCTAATGTTGATATGAAGCTTGTATGAAATAATTGTAACGTGTATGGTGTGCTTAAGAGTTTGTTCCCTATGTTTTTATGAACAGGTACTTCCAAGAAATAACTGCAGCTGCATATATGTGATTGGAGCATCTGTGTGTTGTAACATGGAGGGTTCCGACAGCACTATAGCTGTCTAAACTTTCACATTTCTTGTTAGAATATATTTTTGTAATATGGAGATTCCAAGAATATCAGCCAGTAGTTGTCTTTATTGGTCTCTCAGAACAAGCATATACAAACGGCTTTCTTCAGGAAAAAAAGGCAAACAGTCCTGGACTGAATTTGGACCAAAAAAATGGCTCACCGCCAGTATTTCAGTCCCACATGTGGGTTTAGGGTTCCTGTCTGTTTTGGATTACAATAAAAGTCACAGGAGCTCAGTAAAAGAGTCAGTCAATAGACAGCCCACACTTTCTCACAGCTGGGGATTACTCCACAACCCCTTATAGACAGATACTGACTCATTCCTGCTGCTTTTCAGGCTTCCCTGGCAGGTGGGTTAACCCCTGTGGGACCAAAGTCCTTGTGGTCAGGGTTTGGAGGTTCTTTCCCACTCAAAGTCTCCCCAATCTCTGAATTCTAGGTCCCAACTGAGGACTTGCCAGTCCAGCGAGTACTGTAGAGAGTCCTCTCCTCTTCAGCTGAATTGCCCCGAAACCCCTCACCCTACATGGGTGAGTACTAAAATTGTCTCTTGAACTCTTCCTTAAAGGGACCACAACCCAATTAGTGGGGAAAATATATATCCTGTCCAGGATCCATCCCTGTAATCCTGTACAATATTTTAATGTATTCTTTTAAAGTTAAGATCAAAAGAAATGAATTACAAGACCACTATACATTCCCTTTCATAAATCAACACATAATTATAAAATAACATTAAAATGAAAGACCCTAATTTCTGCTCTGTAATCATTAATACATCAGTAAATGCATTTTTAAATACAAGCAGTGAAAGTACGGTACCTGAATTTGATCTGGAAACAGCCTCTTGCAAGTGGGAGGAGAAAACGGACTGACAGAGCTCACCATGGTGCTGCTTGTCCTTATTATGTCCACTCACAGGCTTGGGTAGGTCAAGGATGACCTGGGCTCAGAGGAGGTAGGTTGAATAGTGCTGGCCATCAGAATGAGGACATCTAATGGCAGAAAAAAGCAGTGTGGAAGAGACTCCCGGTCTGAAGTTGAATATTGCAGCAAAGCAGTTTTTTTTGTTATTTTATCACTAAATGGGCTGCTTCCTTTGATCTTGTTATTTTTGGTTAGATCTCTGCTTTAATGACTTCAGTAGCTCATCATGGAAAAAAAAAACCTGTCCAGATTTTCATTTCTTACAATGACCTCTGGCCTTAGCAGTATTCACTAAAAAGCCAACACAGCTTAAATTTTGAGCGTCTAATTTAAGAGGGAAAGACTGGAGAAATGACAGATGGAACGTTTTATCTTCTGACAGACACATCTGTGTTGTCGCTCCCCTGCTCTCTATCACTCCCTCTTAAACACACACTGTTCTGACACCGCGTTCTATTACTGTCCCTCTGCTCTGCAGGTATACTAATGATTGTTAAGCCGTACACAGCATTGCCACCCGCGCATTAATCTTATCCCGCTGCAGCAGTCGCAAGCATCTCATGCAAAGTAGTGCTGGCGCTTGGCACAGTGCAAGGCTCATTTATTCCAAAAATGACTTTCTTAAAAGCATAAAACACACAGTTGTTTTGAGTAATGTAAATATCGCTACAAAATGATTTAATTAAATTACTTTGGTAATGAACTGAAGTGGTAATGTGATTGCTAGAAACAAAAAAATGCTTTTTAAAACTGCTGCAGATGAAAAGGTGCTATGTTTAATCCTCAGCCTCTCAATTTAAAGGATCTGCTAATAAGACAGGGGTGGCATAGTGGCTTGACATGTATGCATTTGTGGAAACAAAAACACCTCCTTGGCTCTACGACCCAGAGCAAGGGTGGATGGATGGAAAAGGATCTTGTGGAAATTCGTCCACCAATGCATAGAAGGTTGTGTGGCTCTAAACAAGGCTGGGGAAGCCCAACCAGTACTGCAAAGTGAAACAAAAAGCACACCAACCTTGCGCATTACCTTAGTAAACTGTGATTTTATTGAATTGAGAAATATATTCACAAACAAAGAAGCATAACAAGTGTATAAGATCCTAAACAGAACTCTAGGAGTGTAAAACCAGTGCGAGTCACAGCACGAGGGCAGACAATCCCAAAGTAAGGCTGACGCGTTTCAGAGGGGGTCCCTTCTTCATCAGGTTGGTGCGCTTTCTTTTTGTTTCACTTTGCATGTATGCATTTGTGACACTGCTGTTCTTAAAGCGGAGTTCCACTCACTGTAAAAAAAAATAAGTCAGCAGCTACAAAAACTGTAGCTGTTGACTTTTAAAAAACAGCCACTTACCTGTCCCACGATCCCGCGTTGCCCCCGCCGCAGCCCGTTTCACCGGCCGTCCTGTATTCCAGGAGGCCGGCAGCTTCAGAGTGGGCACCCGGCTGTGACAGCTTGCGGTTTCACAGCCGGGTGCCCACTGCGCATGTGCAAGTAGTGCTGCGCTTCCTGAATGGCCCCGTCGTCTTCTGGGACCTGTCACGTGTCCTACATGACTACAGGGAGGGAGGGTAGGAGGACAACTTCTGTGTCCGATCGCCTAGGTGATCACAGCGGAAGTGGGAGCGGGTACCTGTCAAATTCCGCTCTCCAAAGGTGCCAATCCTTAATGGGGAGCGGGGGACCAATCTTTAAAGCGAAATGTCCCCTTTTGGGTGGAACTCCGCTTTAACTGCCAGGACACTATGTGCATTGAGTTTGCATGTTCTTTCTCCATACATGAGTTTTCTCCAGGTACTCAAGTGTCATTGCTCTAGTATGCGTGTACAATTTGGATATACTGTACATGTGTTATCACATTGCGCATGCCAGTCCCAAGCTGAGCAATTGGGGAGACCTCTGATCAGTTGGCGACCCACCTCTTGAAAAATTTACCAAGAAAATTCAATGGAAAAGGAATTAGAATTCAACATAAGGGAGAGATTCTAATGAAAGGATTCACCTGTCACATTTAAAATAAAAAAAATCAAACTAGATTTGCCCATTAGTTGATATGAGATTGGATGTCCTTCAGACTTTATCCACACTCGTGTTTTGTCCTTTTTTTTTTTTTCTCCAATGAGCTACGGGGCCAGAATGACTTCACCCACAGTTCAATGGAGTGTAAAAGAGCCTAATTTTGGAGTTCAGCTAGAGATGAGTTCCTCTCTAACCATCAGCATAATATAACATAATAGATTCCAATTACAAACAAAATTTGCCCATCTGATTTATATTCAAACGGGATTCACCCAGCAGTATTAGTATGCACGTGATAGAATTCATCTGCAAACAAGATTTGCTAATGACATTTAGATACTGCAGTAAGGCCTTCATAGATGATTTGGATTTTGGCTGATCTCTGCTGCAATTACAGCTATGGGTAGCCCCGCAAGCACCACCTAACTTGACAAAAGTTACATTAAAAATTGACTGACCCAGATGGAAAATTATCACCATTACAGTGACTGCATCTTATCAAATAGTCACTGCCCAACAACGTCAACTGCCATGGGTGCCTAATTACAATGACGTTTCCTCCATCTATGATGTTAGTGTACATGGGGATGGGGAAATCAAGTACAGTCAGGTCCATAAATATTGGGACATCGACACAATTCT